TACAATAAATCGTTTTTACTTTATCTTATTCTTGAAAAGTATTAAGCATTTTAAACATTATCAAATCATGCTTTTAATTTATTTAGCTTTTTATTATTAATTTTTTTTTATAATTATATTATTTAGTTAATTTTTTAATTTATGGATTCAGTTGGATGCACTAGTACTCACCATTGCACATTAAAAGTTGTTATAAACAAATTTATATAAGCATAATTAATTATATTTTTCTATGGTTTTAACTGTGCCCATACAGCACAGAACGTTGTAACAACATTGCAGCAACATTGCAACATTGTAGCAACAATGCGGCAAAAAACTTACATAGCACGGATTATTTTTCTTTTGTGATACGTGTTGTAGAGAGAAAGTACATTTCTCATTGTAATATGCGCTTTGAGTTTTAGTCCCTGAGATATGCGATTCTAAAATATTGTAAAAGGGAAAAAATAGTATAAATAAAAGGTTTGTAAAAGTAAAATTTCTAGTAAAAGGAATTTAGTCCTAATGACATTAATCTTGACATATGTTTTCAAATTATAATTCATTATGATTCATTATGATTCTCAACAAAAATGTTCTTATCATTTTTATGCATTTATCATTAAGCTATTAATTATTAAACATTGACTTAGGTATTTTAAAAAATATGCAAGTATATGAAAGTTATTTATTTTGAACATTTTTTATGCGGAAAGTTTCAAATCGTGTATTTCATAGCTTTATTTTATTGTAAAGTAAATGCGTTAATGAAGAAAGGGTGAAACCCCTGTATCCTCTCCTCGAAGAAATTCCGACTTAAACCAAATCTAGTTTCAGACTTAGGTTTGACTTAGATTAAAATTTCTTCGACGAGGGAATGCAGAGAAAGAGACGGAGCCTTTTGTTTGTCAATGCCTTTACTTTACAATAGAATAAAATAATGGCTAAAAGAAGTCGTAAATTGTACTTATAATATTTCAAAATTCTTATTGTTAGCAAAACTAAACAGTAATCCCGAAGCGTACTAATAGTAACACAATAACGAGTAAATGTAAACAAAAGAAATACAAACACAAATATAGGATATAACGAAAAAGTGATGAGAAATAAGAGAAAATAAGAAATTTATATTTGAAATAAAAACCAAAAGAAATCGCCATAAAATTAAAAGCATTTATTACTTGAAAATATGCCCTCTACAATACACGTCAAATTGAAAAATGTTCCGTGCTGTAGAAATTTTTATCAACTTTTAACCTTTGTTTTATTATTTCTATTATATATAATATATGTAGGATAATTCAAAAGTCCAGAAACGGTCGAATATCTCATAAATAATGCATTTTAGAAAAACAAGTTTCAAATCAAAGTTATAATGTTTAAATAGGCGCATTCAACGGCAGTATGAGTTTAACCATGGATAGTGTTGCCAAAGTCAGGTCAAGGTTAACTTGCTTTTTTTAAATGGATAGCTATATTTTTTATATATACATTCTTATAATCCTTCTTGAGACTTTTTCAAAACTTTATAATAAAGTATCTTTTTATTAAGTATTTTTCAAGTTATTTTATATCTTAATCTAATACATTTTGATATAATTATAAAATATAAAACATCTCGTAAAATAATTAGTTTTTGATAATCTTACCGTAATATTTTTATGTACAGAATAATGAGACAAATCAATTGGTATAAAGAAAATAATTGTTTTTAAGAAAAAGTATGTAATTATTTACAATGTATTTTTTAAAACAATTATTTGTTGTTTTTTACACTAATTGTTTTTTTATATCAATTGATTCATATATGTATATAAGTATCTATGATACATCTACATCTTTCTTCTCGATATATCATCGATAAATTTTTTGCAAAATTTTAAATTTGATTATCATATCGATTAATCATATTTTTTATTATTTCTGGATCTCCAATATTCCACTGGTATGAGTAGAGTGAATCAGAAATCGAGAAATTACCGAATTGTCGCGTCGGCACGTCGAGACGATAATATCGAGTACAACATAGCTAACAAGGATAAAATAAAATGGCCGGCCCACCGTTTCGTCCGGCCTAAACGTCATGTTATGTAGGCAAGAAAACCTGGTATCAGTATCGCGGATCCTTCGATAGACCACATCGTAATGTGTCCCGGCGGAGGAATAAAACGAAGGGAATCTTTTGTTGCCCGCGCTCTTGGAAACCGCGCGTCGCGTGAGAGAGAAGACGTTAGGATCTCCTCTCTCGATAAGGATCGACTGCATAGCTAACAAGAATAAAATAAAATGGCCGGCCCACCGTTTCGTCCGGCCTAAACGTCGCGTTATGTAGGCAAGAAAACCTGGTATCAGTATCGCGGATCCTTCGATAGGCCACATCGTAATGTGTCCGGCGGAGGAATGAAACGAAGGGAATCTTTTGTTGCCCGCGCTCTTGGAAACCGCGCGTCGCGTGAGAGAGAAGACGTTAGGATCTCCTCTCTCGATAAGGATCGACTTACGAGAGCTTCCGTCGCATTTGACGTAGCAGACTATATGCATGACGTCGATTCTTCATGCGAAGGATTAAATGAATAAATCAGTGAATTCCCACGCCCTTCCCCTTCCTCCCCCTTTCTTACGCTCTCTTTCTTGCATTACCGATCGCAAGTTTCAATTCATTTTTTAATGGCTCCAGTGGCTCCTTGGTTCATACGAGATAGAAGTTTGTATAAAAATATGTTTTTATTCAATACATTGTTGGAAAAAATTTGGCTTAAATTTAACATATATTGCATGTCTACACAAATTTTTATGTTAATTTAACATAATATATCATATATTTATAGATATGTGATTAAATGATATTAATACTGTGTTAACAGTTCAATAAAAATTAAATGCAAACTTTATAGTAATTCAAAATAAATTTTATGTAAAATCAACATATTTTTAATGATAAAATTAACTTGGAAAAATGTTATTGACGGTCTGTAGTTACTCTCATTCCTATTGTAGAATAAAATCGATATTTCTTTTCTGTAAATTTTAATAGATAAATTCTGTCACTAATAACATGAAACATATAGCTATTGTATAAAATTAAAAATATTTGCCCATTGTGTTATTTTTACATTTTTTTCGATTGTTTTAATAATTTAACATTTGAATTCATTAACACAAGCGATATATTTTAAATTAATACATGAATGAGTTAAATATTTAACACATTTTCCAATAGTGTAGTGATATTATCAGTGTATTATCTTTTTATATTTCCAATCCGAGTCAAAATTTTTCTCTTATTGTCAACCTCAACTTTCTAAAATTTACAGATTCTATAAAGAATTTGACAAGTTTAATTTATATAACAATTTGTATCCCACAGAAATCTAAAAAAGAAAATTTCGTCAAAATTATAGATTAAATAGTTTTATAAGAAAGCGACCTGATTGTCAAAATAAATGTTAGATTGAAAATTGAGATCAAAAATAGGAGAAAAATTTTGACTCGGAAAATTAGCAGATAAGTTAATTAAATCATAAAAAAAGTTTCCTCTGCGCCTTCAGTAAAATTTATGATCAAATGTTAAAATATTGCTTTCTCCGGACAAGTTTTATTGTCTGCATTGTCCTTTATTGTCTGTTTTATTGATTGCATTTGACACATCGGTCACGTCACGAGCGAGTGTTTGAGTCATCGCGGTTCAATCGCACTCGTTTTGCCTTCCCGAGGATCTTTTTTTTCCTTCGAGATTATAACATCAAATGTAACGCTAAGTTGGATTCTAATCGTTCGATGAAGCGGATAACGCGTTAATATTTTACTTTCACTTTCTCGCGGTTTTCAAATATCATGGTAATATTTAATTCGAGGCATCGCGTTATTAAATCCTATCATTCATCGCGCGATCGAATCATCTGCCGAAAATAACGTAAAAAAACGCCCCGGTATCTTATTTTATAATCATACAAGAGTCTCGCGCGAATCAATCGCGTTAATCGATTCAGCTGCCTCTTGGGTATGTAAAAATGGATATGTAAAAACACTCCCGCGTGTATTCTCGCGCGAGAGTACTCGTTGTGAGAAATGCTTCTCGTCTGACATTACGAGATTTACACACTACTCCTCCGATTACCCTATTTTTGTATTCTCGGCGCAGCTCCAGTATTTTCGAAGAATTCTAAAAATGAACGCTGATATGCCGTACCTCTCGTATGAAGGATCCGAGATGAGAATTTAGCTGCGGAGATCGACGATTGACGGGAAATCGTGAAATTTTGCAAATTGGTTTACAAGCAAAATCAGTTTTTGCTACTTGTCGCTTTAACTTATTTTTTAAATATTTTTCTTCAAAGTCAAAAGAAAATCTTAAAAGTTGAATCATTTTTTCATTCAATTATATTTAATGATCTAAATCTTTCTAAAAGAAATGAAAATCAAAATAAATGAATTGATAAAAAAAAATTAATTTATATAAGTAAGTTTTGTACATTTTTTATCAAGAAAATTTCATTAATGTTATATCTCTCTCTTTCCTCTGCATTGAATGTTTTACATTTAATGTTGTATATGTATAATAATAATTTCTGATATAAATGCTTAATAGTATCAAATAGCAACAAGTTTAAAAGATAAATATTATTTACTCAGGAATATGATAGATATATATTAAGATATAAAAGAAAAAGTATAAACTGCCATTTTTTTCCCGAAATTACGTTACGCGTATTATAATTATACATACACAATCAAAGGAAAAATGATATTGTAAACGCAATTATTGTATTATTATACAAAAAAAATGCGTATTAAACACACGCTAATCTCAATTCCTATATTGTTTGTATTAGAGTAAAAATTCTCGCGAAATTATCCGGAATAATTGCTCTTTATTGCAAGAAAATGGCATAGTTTCTTCTAGTATTTATATTCCGTAGCTTAGAAAGTGCTGTTTGAAATAGCTCCGAGGTGATCTATGATTTTACTGTTGCACAGTGGACGAAATTGCGATATCACAATTAGTTCTTAATTAATCGTTTAACAAATTAGCTATGTGCGACGTTGTACAAGCGCGATCTCTAGTACTCGCTATAAATTAACGTACATTTAATTCCAAGTCGCTGATCGATATTTAGCTTATAAAACGCAAATATAAAGCTGTTACGTCCTGGCGATTCCACGATTCCTTCCTTCCGCGAAGTGTCGGCAACGATCGTCGATTGGTGAGACAAACGAACCGCTCAGTAAACAGACCAACGTAAAAGATCGATGATAAAAACATGCCGGTCTCCACAAGATAAAATAAATTTTTCTAACGAAATACCCAACAAACACAGCTGCATCTATAATAATAAAATTTTCCAACAAATATTCAATAAACACAGCTGCACCAATAGCAATAAAATTATCATAGAAGAATAGGATCTTTTTTCTAATCTGAACACGTGCAAGAAATCTCCGAACGAATATCGAACTCACCAATGGACGATCACTACGAGTAAAACGCAAAAAGTAGGAGGAACACCCCGCCTAACGAAGACACTGGCACATTTTTAATTTGCTAAGATTGAAAAATTCCCACTTCTGCGCAAATTCAATTCGTCGAAGTTTTGGAAGATTCCCACTCTTAGAAATTAGAATACACCCCGAAAAGAGAGATATAAAAAGAAGACTCGAACAGACTTAAGCACTTATTCTCCAGTCTTCAGCTTCACGCAGTCTTACTCTGTGCTTTTGCACCGTAATTCGCGAGTTAGGCACTTGTGCCACCAGTGTCCTCGCTTGGCATCATCTCCAGAGCAACCACGAATCGAACATCGGGTTGCCGACATGAGACACAGAGCAAAACACCGTACAAAAATTCCCCACCTCTCCACCTCTGAATTACTATTGAAAAAAGTAAGTTTAATTGAATAATTTTTCTTTTCCTTCTTTTTGTCTTGTTTCTTATTTAAATCAAAACTTTCCGAAGAATGTTTCATTCTTTTAAATCATCAACCCGTTTCGGTAATAAGTCTTAGAAAATTTTAAATCCTGATCGTAATCTAACACATATGCGAGCGACCAATTTTATATTTCTGACCGTTCTTAACATATACACTTATTTACTTATACATATTGATTTTGATTTTATGTTTTTATCCTTTAATCAAATATATTTTTATATTGTATCACCCAGTCAGAATCTAAATTTAACAGTAAAATCATTCCATTCTATTTCTGACTGATGTCCTCCGTATTAATGTAACACCCGCGAACTAAAACACACACATACACATGTACACTCACCGAGAAATTATAATCAACAATTTTTCTATTTTAATTTTTTTTTATATAATCATGTATATCCACCATTTACTTTAAAATAAATAAATTTACATTTGTTAATTTAAAAATCAAAATAACTCTTTATTAA